GCGACCCGACAGGCACACCGGCCGACCTGCGCACACGAGGGCCGCTTGAGCCACGGATCCCCCACGGGATGATGGGTCGCCGGCAGATTTTCCTGGGGAACGATCCTCAAGGACGCGTTCTCTTGCGATGGAAATTAATTTGAAGATTTGGGGAAGTTTTGAGGATTTTCTTTGACATCACGCGGATGTGTACTGTTGGGATCCGGCTGAATGACGCGAAGTCCGATTCGTTGATAATTATATTTCGGCGTTTCAACGTGTTCTCCGGATTAACCAACAGGGTTGAGAGAATAACTATATATTATCCCAGAGATTCCAATTCTTGTATACTAAGCTCTTCGCCGAGGAGGGGATGTCGGTGACCCTTGGTATCCGATGGCTCGTTATAGATGACTAGTACTGGATGAAACATTTGTGTATTTTATCTAGGATTTTGGACTTGTGAGAAACATGCTGGACAACGAACAAACAAAAAATCTAAGAAATGTATTTTTTCATATTCATCGCGAGGAATGAAAATATCTTGGAGTTGCTGGTAGATTAAAGGGATCTCTAGATTAAGATCTGAGGGTTAAATGTGAGTCAGTGAGTCATCTAGTATTAATCACTTTTATATAGTGCATTTCAAAGTTGACGCGTCGCCATCAGATTTTCCTGATGACCGTTCTTCAAGGACACGTTTAACCTCTCGCCCTGGAAATGAATTCAAAGATTCCTCGGTGCTGTTCATTTCTCACGGATCAAAGCAAAAAACTATTGTGCTGTCAATGTATTATCTTCAAATTGTCACTTAATGGAAAATTATGTTTCTCCCAAATTGTCGATAGCAAAATTCCACGAGCTTAGTGGGGAAAGTAAATAATACGCCAAGGGGTTAACAGCAGTCAAAATGGCGGTCTATTTCGACTTCGAAGCTGCGCTTGAGAAAATTGCGCGTCCGGTGCAGCTAGAAAGCTGAACAGCTGATTGAACAGAAAGAATATCGCACATTGCCTGTTCATGTCGCTAATAAGTATCTTCACGATCTTATCGTGCTCTGTCGACGGCCCGTGCACCGTGGTCGCGCGGCGCATCGCGTTAATCATCCCGCACGCGTGTAAGGGTTTGTTTTGCTTTTACCCAATTTCTTAATCATTCTTTCGGAATGGTCATCTCATCGGTCCTCTGTTTCAAATCATTCTACATCTACGTGGAAACCTTCCAAACACTTAAATTAACTGCTGACTCGGATTTCAATGTTTCCTTATCACAAGTTGTAAACTAACAAAGTGAAACGTTCTTGAAAGATATAGTTGCTTGAGTCTTTCAAGCGAGAGCTGCCTTATAAGAAATAAAGATTTATCCGGGAATTTGGTTATAGTTCTATTCATCGCGTGGAAATTTGTTTATATCAACATTCGTAACACTTGATATTCCATTTAAAAAATCAACACAGTACGAACAAAATATAACCAAAATCTCATTGGTACGGAACATGTTAAACAAAATTAGCATACAGGAATCTGTAAAACTAACTTAACATTCTATTTAAAAAATCAATATATCTTACATATAATAATATTTATATTTACAATGCATTTCAAAGAATTTGCACACATTCGGTAGCTACTATCGCAAGTTTGTTTATATACATTCTGTTCTTAGATAATTTGATTTAATATATATGATTCTTTAAATAAATTAGACTGCTTTCATTAGCTTATACTATTATTTCCTAAATACGTTCAGTCTCACAGTTGTCAGAACATTGGCACAAATTAATTCTTAAACTTAATACTTTAAAAACATTAGATAACCTGCTGCACGTGTGTATATTTCTTACATAATACATTACATCCTTATGAATCCAAAGATCTAAATATCCTGGATTTTCATATCAAGAATAAACAACATCAAAATCTCATAGACACGGAACGTACTAAACAAAATTAGCGTACGCGAATCCATAAAACAGTTAAAACCGCAAGACTACCAAGTCTATTCCCATTAAAACGTTGACTCACCGGTAACAAGAAAACCGTTTCCGGTGCCGAACGCTCCCGAAGATGGTCCTCGAGTTGATTTCGTGAGAAAACGAGGAATCGGTCCGCGAAAGGTAGAGCGCAGCCCTGCAAAGGGTGGGCTGCGCCGGATTTTCGTGACACGAAGAGAAGAGGGAAACAGTTACTTATGTCCCCGTAAAAAGGCCCGGGAACGGTAAAAACGCGCGGCGGATCCTCGGGAATGCCGTGCGTACCCGCGAGGCATCGCGTGGATGAAAATTCTACGAAAGGGCAGCCCCGGCATTGCGCGCGTGCTTTCACTTTATGAAGAAACGGGGGCGCGAAGGGGGGCGAAGCTGTTCTTGATATGCACGGTTAAGGAAGCACTTTGGCTGCCGGCCGGAGTAATTGCATGGAAGGGCCCTCCCTCCCGCCACTGCCTCCGTCCGACCGTCCGTCTTTTCGTCAAAGGGAGCAACGCGACGCGGGGCCCGTTCTCTACTACGAGGCCCGATCGCCCCTTTCGGCGGACAGAAAAATCGAGGGGCTGGACTGGACGGAGTTTCCGGGACAGGATTCAATGCAATTACTCGCGGTCATTAATAATTAACCTCTCGGTGTACAATTTATTTCTCAACTACGTTGCTGTTAATCATTGGTGGAGGGAGAGATGTTTGATAGTCTCTATGGCTGTGATTCGTGCGAAGTATAATGGTTGATATTACTTGCTGTTAGTAATTGATGGAGAAGTTCGATATACTCTATGGCTGTGATTCGTGTGAAGTATAATCTGGTTGGTATTACTACGTTGGTGTTGATAATTGATGGAGGAGAGAGGAAAGTTTGATATTCTCTATAACTGTGATCGGTATGAAGTATAATTCGATATTACTACGTTACTGTTAATAATTGATGAAGGGAAGAGAGATTTGATATATATTTTATGGCTATGATCGGTGCGAAGTGTAATGGTTGATATTACTTGCTGTTAATAATTGATGGAGGAAAGAGAGAAGTTTGATATTCTCTATGGCTGTGATCGGTGTGGAGTATAATGGTTGATATTACTTGCTGTTAATAATTGATGGAGGAAAGAGAGAAGTTTGATATTCTCTATTGCTGTAATCGGTGCGAAGTATAATGGTTGATATTACTTGCTGTTAGTAATTGATGGAGGAAAGAAGAGTTTGATATTCTCTATGGTTATGATCGGTATGAAGTATAATTCGATATTACTACGTTGCTGTTAATAATTGATGAAGGGAAGAGAGATTTGATACATATTCTGTGGTTATGATCGGTGCGAAGTATAATCTGGTTGATATTACTACGTTACTATTAATAATTGATGGAGGGAAGAGAGAAGTTTAATATTCTCTATGGCTATGATCGGTATGAAGTATAATCTGATCTATATTACTACGTTGCTCTTAATAATTGATGGAAGAAA